ACCGAACGCAGAGAAAGACACGGCGGGCGAGTGAGTCACGCGTAAGCCGTGACATAGTTCACACGGCTGCTTTGTTGTAATCGCGACAACGGGCGAAGCTGAAATTACACGGGACGGGCACGCGCAAGTGTGTGCAGTGTGACAGAGAGGCCGGGCTTAACCGCATAGCGTAACATGAACCTTTGGAAACACGCTATCGATTACCCGGCGCCGAGCAGCACCGGTGACGAGTGCTATCTAAACAGGTCGTGGTAGCCCCCCAAACACCACCACCACCCCCCCACCACTTCGCCAAAACATTCCGACGTGGTGAAATATGGTCAAACGTCACCCGACAACCGGCACGGCGTGGGGGGGGGGGGAGGGGGGCTCGTCCAGCAGTGGACTAATAAAAAGGCCATGGTACAATCCCAGATGACGGACGCATAATGCATTTTGTGCACGTTGTTAGCGTTGTAATAAAGCAATTACAAGACATAGCCTAGAGGTTGCCTTTGTGCCTGAGTCACATACAAATGCGATTAGCATCGTCAGACAACGACTCTTCAGCTAACCATGAAAACAAATGTGCGAAGGACCATTGTGAAGTCCGGTATTCACACGTGGGCGGCTCGACATTTGACGCGAATACTTGGCCTTCCAAAAAAATCGGCCAGTATGCGCCTGTCTGCATACCTCGCAGAGCCAAGCGTGGGGCTTGAGCCTGGTCAGCGCCTGGATGGGAGGCTGCCACTCGGGAATGAATACAGCACAGGGCGTTGTTAGACGTGGTGGGGTTTGCAAGGTGGCCACGAGATATCGCAGGAGGAGAGTGCCACCCATTCACTCATACGGGTGGTGGGCTTTCACACACTCAAAGCTCGACACCGAATGGTATTGGCCAAACAATCCAAATGCAGGACCCTGCTGAAAATGATTTTTCTTGAGACTAAGTGTGTCCTTCGCGGGTTTATAGTTGGTGTACATTCATTTCTGAAATCATTTTCAGTCTTTTGTCAATGCTGGATGAACACCCTCCCCATGCCGTGTCGGTCACGGGGGGGGGCGGGGCCTGTTTGAGCATACTTCACCACGCTCGTGAATGTGGGTTGGTGAAGGGAGCATAAAAGAACAATGGATTTTGCAGCACTGCTGCTCCCTGTTTAGATAACACACGTTCCATGCGTGGTGATTGCCCATTGATGTACTATCCAGTCTCTGTTAGGCTACCGAGATCTGACGCCGCAATCAGATGCTTTCCGGGCGATCTGATCACAAGCGTTGTTATTATTATTATGTTTATGGCAACAGCACTGTACGTTCAGTATTACATATGGGGAAGACAACAATGTGTGCCCCCCACATAGACCATCATTATATGACTGCGGAATTTTCACTACTGGCTCAGGGCTGTGAACAAGGAGATGAGTACGTACCACCGCAACGCTCATTTGAGCAGAAAATAATTGTAACATTGTTGCAGTCACTCTGTCACGAATGAACCCCACTGCCTGCGTTTTCATTAAGTTATTATCACTATTGAATAACAAACTCGCTTCACCTCTACATACAGCAGGTACATCACATCTCTGGGACACTTTTTGGCAGGATCAAGGTGTCTATTTTGGTGTTTGTAAATCTTAACACCTGTATTCTTGTCGGAATGGGTAAAGCCTACCCTTTGTTTGCATCATCTTGATACTGGCATACAAATGGGTCCCAGAGATGTAACTGCCTGACCCGAGCTATGAATGCTTTGATATTTGCATTGCCTTTGTGCTGTTCACCTTTCGGCGTTCTTTGGTCTAACGCCGGTGAGAAAAAGTCATAAGGGAATCTTTCTCTGGTGTAGGCAGATGATTTTCAAGGTATTTAACCACACGCATGTGTGGTTAATGCAGACTTTGTGACGGGTGTCTATTTGGCGTGGGAACATCTTAACACCTCCTGTATTCTTGCCGGAGAGGATAAAATACATTTTGTTATCAACTTCTCCAGCAGTCTTTTCAGTCATCCGGAAAATATTCCCGTGAGTCCCATCTTACACCCAAAGGTGCCTTTCACCTGGCAAATATGGTACATGGGAGGAGTCGGTGTTGCCAGAAAGGGGTCAGTGGGTGAGGGTACAGTGAGGGAAAAAAGTATTTTATCCCCTGCTGATTTTGTACGTTTTCCCACTGACAAAAAATGATCAGTCTATAATTTTAATGGTAGGTATATTTGAGCATTTATAGACAGAATAACAACAACAAAATCCAGAAAAACGGATGTCAAAAATGCTATAAATTGATTTGCATTTTAATGAGGGAAATAAGTATTTGACCCCTCTGCAAAACATGACTTAGTACTTGGTGGCAAAACCCTTGTTGGCAATCACAGAGGTCAGGCGTTTCTTGTAGTTGGCCACCAGGTTTGCACACATCTCAGGAGGGATTTTGTCCCACTCCTCTTTGCAGATCTTCTCCAAGTCATTAAGGTTTCGAGGCTGACGTTTGGCAACTCGAACCTTCAGCTCCCTCCACAGATTTTCTATGGGATTAAGGTCTGGAGACTGGCTAGGCCACTCCAGGACCTTAATGTGCTTCTTCTTGAGCCACTCGTTTGTTGCCTTGGCCGTGTGTTTTGGGTCATTGTCATGCTGGAATACCCATCCACGACCCATTTTCAATGCCCTGGCTGAGGGAAGGAGGTTCTCACCCAAGATTTGACGGTACATGGCCCCGTCCATTGTCCCTTTGATGCAGTGAAGTTGTCCTGTCCCCTTATCAGAAAAACACCCCTAAAGCATAATGTTTCCACCTCCATGTTGGACGGTGGGGATGGTGTTCTTGGGGTCATAGGCAGCATTCCTCCTCCTCCTCAAAACACGGCGAGTTGAGTTTATGCCAAAGAGCTCCATTTGGGTCTCATCTGACCACAACACTTTCACCCAGTTTTCCTCTGAATCATTCAGATGTTCATTGGCAAACTTCAGACGGGCATGTATATGTGCTTTCTTGAGCAGGGGGACCTTGCGGGCGCTGCAGGATTTCAGTCCTTCACGGCGTAGTGTGTTACCAATTGTTTTCTTGGTGAATATGGCCCCAGCTGCTTTGAGATCATTGACAAGATCCTCCCGTGTAGTTCTGGGCTGATTCCTCAATGTTCTCATGATCATTGCAACTCCACGAGGTGAGATCTTGCATGGAGCCCCAGGCCGAGCGAGATTGACAGTTCTTTTGTGTTTCTTCCATTTGCGAATAATCGCACCAACTGTTGTCACCTTCTCACCAAGCTGCTTGGCAATGGTCTTGTAGCCCATTCCAGCCTTGTGTAGGTCTACAATCTTGTCCCTGACATCCCTGGAGAGCTCTTCGGTCTTGGCCATGGTGGAGAGTTTGGAATCTGATTGATTGATTGCCTCTGTGGACAGGTGTCTTTTATACAGGTAACAAGCTGAGATCAGGAGCACTCCCTTTAAGAGTGTGCTCCTAATCTCAGCTCGTTACCTGTATAAAAGACACCTGGGAGCCAGAAATCTTTCTGATTGAGAGGGGGCCAAATACTTATTTCCCTCATTAAAATGCAAATCAATTTATAAAATTTTTGACATTTTCTTGTTGTTATTCTGTCTCTCACTGTTCAAATACACCTACCATTAAAATTATAGACTGATCATTTCTTTGTCAGTGGGCAAACGTACAAAATCAGCAGGGGATCAAATACTTTTTTCCCTCACTGTATGTGGAGGTGATCGTGGGGGGATGGAAATTGTAGTGGTTACCACACTGTGCTACGTATGCGGCAAACCCAATTCGATTCCCGTTCACAGCCAGCACCAGTGACGATTATGATGGATTATCTGAACCAGTCCTCGGCCTCCTCTAGGTCGACTCAGCCTCAAATGAGTACCTGGTGTACGGTGTGTAAACATCGCCACTGGGGAAACAAAGGCGGTCGGGCGTGGTGTTGGCCACGCACCCCTTCGTGTGCCGTGCCGGCCTTCATAGGTGCTCGCTAACAGCACATGCCCCAAACGTCTGTTAAGGCTATACGGGGGATCTTTGTCTTGGGTGAGTGGGTGAATGGATGTCAATTGAGGTGGCGATGGTAGGGGGAGGTGTGTGTGCGGTGAGTGAGAGAGTGATTGAGTAGATGGGAAGGCGGATGGTGAGTGTAGGTGTGTGTGTGTCTGCTGAGTGGGTGAATGGACGTGACCAAAAAGTGGTTATGGGGGGGGAGGTAGGTGTATGTGTGTGTGTGTTGTGTGAGTGGGTGTGAGAGGAGGCAGTGGTAGTTGATGGTGGCGAGGGAAGGAGGAGGAGGCGGAGGAGGTGGGGGTGCCATGGAGGCGTGGCTCTCCGCAGCCTCTCCACGCGGCATCGCTCGCCGAGCCACAAACGCGCTGCCCGGCGCGATGGCAACAAGTGTCATCGCCGTCTGCAGACGCGCGGACAGGGCGCACGCTCTCCATCGGAGAGCTCTTGAGGGCGGTGATGGAGGGCCTGGGGATGGGTGTCATGGGAAGGATGCTGCAGCAACAGCAGCAGCAGCAGCAGCAACTTTGATGAGCAGCAGATGAAGTCGCGTGCGGCGCGACTCGGGAGTCGGCGTGGTCACGCGCACCTCGTCGCCTCGCCACCTACGAGCGCGTTGCGTGAACCTCCACCCACCACCACCACCACCACCCTCCCACCCTCCCTCCCACACCTCTCCAGGCGCGGTGTTGATAACTTGTAACCGATCGCGGCGGTGCGGACCGCGTCCGATTTGCGGCTGGACCTCGGCGTGTTGAATTGTGACCGCCAGCGGACAAAGCCGGCTCGCGGCATTGGCGCGACTCCAGCGGTCGCGCGCGATCGCCATCGCAGCGCCAAATTGTCAGTGGTTCCCGCCGCGATGTGCGTGAACGGATTAATCACGGACTCTACAGTACTAACCCACTGCACTCTAAAGAAGTAGGGGCTGTAGTGGTGGTGGTGGTGGTAGAGGGGTTAAGGAGGTTTCGGGAGGGGGACGGAGTAGGCGGACGGGCGGGCGGGGGGGGGGGGGGCTTCACAATTTTAATGGGAAACCAAATCGACCGCCTCACTCACCACCGCTACGATGAGGTCCCGCTAAGCGACCCCTCTTACCCGGACAGCGAGAACGGCTCCGCGTGCGTCGACTCGGACACGAACACCGCTTCGTCGCTCGACGTCCGTCAGCTCCACAACGAGGAGGAGGAGGAGGTGGTGGGGGTGAGCAGCGAGACGCGCGCGCACGTGGAGGCTTCATCCCCGGCGCGCGCCTACGACTACGAGGAGCACGTCCTGCGGGAGGAGCTGCACTTCGCCGCCTACTACGCGGGCGAGTGCATCTTCCGCAACGCGTCCTCCTCCTCCGCCGCCGCCTCCGCTCCCTCGTCCTTCCTGACGCCCGCGCGTCTCCTCGAGGCAAGCGTGGCCGGAGACCTGCTCGAGTTCACCGCGCCGGGCGGCGGCGGCGGCGGCAGCAGCTGCACGCACTGGGCGGTGAGCACGGGGGACGGTCGCGCCGTCTATGTGCACCACGGCGAGGTTCGCAGCGACCCCGTGGCCGTGCTGAGCGCCGGGCGGAGGGGTCGCGTCGTGAGCGACTGGTACCGCTTCAAGGCGCAGTCGGCCGAGACGGTGGTGCGCAGGGCGCTGGACCAGGTGCTGCTGCAGCAACAGCAGCAGCAGCAGGAGGCGGTGATGGTGAACGGCGGCGGCGGCGGCGATGAAGATGAAGGACGGCAGCAGGCGCACGGTGCGTCGTGGAGGAACTCGGAGTGCTTCGCGGCGTGGTGCAGGTACGGCAAGAGGCAGTTCAAGTCCGGGCTGGAGTTGCGCATCGGGAAGACCCCGTACCTGCTCAAGACGCACCTGGGCGACGGCGTGGCGACCACGCAGAGCTTCCAGTGCCTCGAGGACCTCATCGTTGAGAGGTGGCGCCTCGAGAGGATCGGGCGAAGTGCGCTCCTCCTTGACTCGGGGTTCGCCCAAACGTGCTGCGGGTTGTAGCAAGATTCAGGCGTGCTCACCTGGAGGGGTCACTTGGAGTGGTCACCTGGAGGGGGTCACCTGGGCCTGACCTGGACCTCCTGCTGCGACCGCTGAATGTGTTCACTGCGCCACGAACCTGGCACGACCTGCGTTCGATCCCCCGCCACGGCTAACATCGGTGGCCCGCGGCGCCTGAAATGGCTCTGCAACCCCCCACCACCACCACCACCTCCTCCTCCACACCATAACTCTGAGGTCGACTCAGCCTTGAACGAGTACCCTAGTGCAGTGTGTGAACGTCGGCATTGTGGAGACGTGCTTCCTGGTGTGTCTCTGGCCGCATCCACCTCAAAAATAGGTGTTCGCTGACAGCGCTTGGCCCGATGGTCTACGAAACAAATCGGAGCGCGTTGCGTGTGAGAAAAATGTGTGTTATACAAGTTCGAGTGTATTTTGTTTAACCAGGTGAACGCTCAAAAGACCAAGTTGACCCTCGTGTTCAAGAGTGGCATCAGCCGCCAGTTGGGGGTCACGATTGCCGTGCGTCACCCCTAACTGAGTCGTTTGTCAGCGTAAACCTTTGTGCGTGCCGGTGTGTTTATACTTGCGTTGTAGATATAAATAGACTGCACATTGTTTGTGTGTGTGTATGTGTGTGTATGTATGTGTATGTATGTGTGTGTATGTGTATGTATATGTGTGTGTATGTGTGTGTGTCTACATGACTGCATACGGCCGTATGGGGAGCCGTAGTGTAGCGGTTAGCGACGCTGCGCTACGAACCCGGCCACCCGAGTTCGATTCCCGCTCACGGCCAACAAGCAGCGACGATTATCTGAACCGGTCCTGGGCCTCCCCTATCGCCGCCCGGGAGACAAAGGTGGCCGGGCGTGGTGGTGACCACCCAGCACCCCCCGCCTCCTCGTGTGCCGTGCCAGCCTTCATGAGGTGCTCGCGAACAGCGACTTGCCGCAAACGCATGTTAAGGCTACACGGGGGATCTTTGTCTTTGTGCACGCAAGTACTGTATGCGTCAATATTTGTAAGGGTTGTGTGTCTGTGCGGCACGCATGTGCGTATGTGTAAGTGTTTCTAAGGCTATTTACGTGTGTGTGTGTGTGCACGTGGTTGTATGCGCGCGTGGGTGTTTCGATTTTGTCAAACTTTATTAAGGGATGTGGGTGTGTGTGTGAATTGGAGGGTGTGTGTATATTGGAGTGTATGTGTGTATTGGAGGGTGTATGTGTGTCAAGACAAAAGAGCCCCCCCCCAACCCCGTATAGCCTCAACAGACTTTTGGGGCAAGTATCTACTGTATGCTGTTACTTCTTTCGCACCGTACGTAGCCAACCGTGCAAATCGGAACCGCGTCAGTGCTAATTGGACGTGCGAAAGAAGTTCAACATACACACCACCCTCACAGCTGTGGTGCTGGTCTTCTTCATAGGTGCTCGCGAACAGCTCTTGCAACAACAGTCTGTTCAGGCTATACGGGGGATCTTTGTCTTCGTGTGTGCGCGCGCGTGTCAGTGTGCGCGTCTCTTTGTCTTTGTGACCGTGCGTGCGCGTGTGGCGGAAGCGAATCGGTGTTATTCTTCACGTGTCACGAAGTGGCGTTTTTTTTTGTTTGAGCGACACGCTCTTGCGAGCGGGAGGAGTCGGGGAATCAACCCGCGCATGTCGTGTGGTTGGGTTTACTCTCCGACACGCCGGTGTTGTGCACGTGACAACCCTTAAGAATTGGGGCTGTGTCGGATGGTGGCTATTTACGCGATATAACCCCCCCCCCACCCCCGCTCACAAAAAAGTACCCCTTATTTATGGATATTGGTCGGCAAAGCGTAACGTGGTAAACTGCGTGCCTCGCGTCTTCAATGCGCATCATGAGTTGTGGACGCCCGTGGCCGTGAGACATTGCGGTCGACCTGCCACCTAATAAGCCCCTTTAAAAAAAAGATATAGATTTTAATAGATACATTTTTTTTAAATTATATATGAAACATTTAAACCGTTCAAAACATGTGTAACTTAAACAAGTTGACGACGTATTTATTGTTTAGCAGTGTTGTCATTTCAATTGGAAAATAATCTATTCAAATAAGGGACCTCCGTCTGAGCGCCCTGATGAGACGCTTCAGGATCTCATTGGATAACTTACAACCACTCCCACCAGGGTCAAAATGAAGAGAAAGGGGCACAAATAAAAAGCCCACTGGCCAATAACAAATCCCTCCTTTCCAAGGCCTCGTGCATAAACATATTCAATATGCAAATTAACAACTCCCCCCCCACCCCTCAAACCCTTCCAGCCCCAATTGTTGCAGCCTCACCAAAAATGTGGCCCGCCAGCTGCCGCTCGCTGCTCTCGTGTATGATCGGGACACCCTCGCGGCGGCCGTTTGTCGGCCTTTGTGAGAACATGGCCCACGCTGCAGCCGTAAATGTCTCGTTTTGTTGTCAGCTTCTAGTGGTGTCGACCTCTGTTGGCAATGGCGCCTATTTCCCAGGACTTGTTAGCTGGGGTTATTGCCACCACCACCACCACCACCTCCACCACCACCTCCACACCGATGGTAATTGTGTCACGATCAGGATGGTTCCTGCCAAATGTCTCTGCTGCTTTCCTCGTGCCTCCTTCGCCATGAAGAAATGTAATCTCAATTCGCTCTTCTTTACTTGGGAACAGCTTGTACACTAATCATCGCCACCATCAGGCCCCGTGATCGATCCACTGCTGAATGAAGGTCTCCTCAAGCCACCTCAATTTCTCGTGATCCTGAGATTTAATAATCCACCTAGCACCTGCACACGAGCTGACTTCATCGTGCCATCTGTTTGGTGACCATCTGTTTAGAGGATAATCTCTCAGATGCATTCCATTCTTAATTGCCACTGCGTTGCTATTCTGAATCACCGATCATCGTCCCTTCTAGTGACGCGTCGTGCCCAAGTCCACTTTCTTGCCTTAACAGTTTGAATGATGTTATTGCTCTAATCCACGTGTCTCAGTGTAATTGTTCATGCTTATTTGCACACTTGTATGTTCTCGTTTCATTTGCTTGTTAAATCGCACAATAGACTCACCTGAAAATGAAAAAAACATTGTTTAGCTATAGCTCGTTTCAAGACTCATCGCTCGTCTTGTATTTCAACCGAGGTAACTGGGTGGCATAACACCTAGCAAGCATTGCCAGGTTGCTGGCTTTTAATCTTGGTCAGCTAACAGTGATTAAACCGCACAAACAAGTTTGTGCGGTGTTAACCCTGCATATGATTATTGTATTGAATAAATATGCGTTTTTGCACTTCCTTCGGTATGACTCAGCTATTAGGATGTATTCGGCCAAAAGGTTTCGGAGTTCTCATCTCAGCTGTCTGCATGTCTGGTTAGTGCTCAGTCTCATTCTATTAGACAGACCCTCGAGAGATGTTTAACGAATGTCTGTGTTTTTAATTTTGACCTGATGTTTAAATTGCGATTGGTAGCTGATAGTGAATGGCGGCTGATTGGTGGTAGAGAATTATGCAAACAAGGCACTGCACTCTGTCTAGATATTGACAACGTGTTTGTATGGAAATATTAGAAATGCAGATAAAAAAACAGCTAAACTAACTCCAGTGATTGTGATAAAAATGTGTTCTACAATTTGATAGCTTTAGATAAAAAAAAATACTCATGCGGCTCGTGTGGACATGATCGGCTAAATGAAGATAGCGTGAACACATTTGCAAGCGACTTATAAAAGCGCTGCTGTGGTTGCACCCACACTGCAATTTACACTCCAGTTCAACTGGGGATGGAGCGGTGGTGCAGTGGTTAGCGCGCTGTGCTATGAACCCTGGCAAACTGAGGTTGATTCCCAGCGATGGCTGACATGAGTGACCCGTAATATCAGAACCAGTGCTTCAACCCGCACTGACTGGCTTGGTGAAGTATGGTTACAAAGCCCGTGACTCACATGGCACGGGGAGGCCTTCATCCATTGGCGGATTGAGAACGTCTCTCATGTATTTATATTTTTATGTTTTTATTGATCGTACTGGCATTACATCTGATACTTTCAATCATTGCTTTTCACTGCAGTTCAGTGGTTCTATGTTGGTTTTTATCCTAATGAAAATTCTTAAGCTTCCTAGCATTGTTTGCCTTAACATTTGCCTTATGATGGTCTTGACGAATAACAATGAGCCATTTACGAATATTTCCCTTGTAAATAAACATTTTTCGTCTGGGATCAAATATTTCGATCATGACGTGGCTTGTGTATAAATTAAAAACATTATAAATAGCAACGAAAATCACCCCTCTTCATTATACTTTTTGGAACACACACCCACATACAAAAAATACAGATTAGGCTGTGACATTGTAAATATTTTACGTGACACTGGAAGCAAAAACATTTCTTATTGATAATTGTCGTTTGTAAATGAGCAGTAATAATTATTAAACAAATTAAAACATGTGCAATTTAAGTAAGCATTACATTTATTGAAGGCTTTCGTATGAGCCATTTTTTTAAAGAGCCGAAATGTTGATGTTCATATGTGTGATGTGTATATTCTAACTTATGTGTGTATATCTATATATGTACCATACATCGTATTCAAAACACACAGAGTGAAGTGGTGGTTAGCACACTGCACGATGAGTTTGATTCCCGGCCACGGCTAACATCAGTGGCAGGCGATATCTGTACCGGTCCTGGACCCCCAGCTTCACCAACCCACATTTGCTGGCGTGGTGAAGTATGGTCAAACAACCCCCTTGACCGACATGACGTGGGGGGAGGCCTTCATCCAGCAGTGGATTTGGCAAAGGACCGTGAATATACGCAGGAGTGTATACTTTTTTTACGAGGTGTATCTAGACCATAGAGCAACATTTTTTGCTCCATCATTTCTCGTACGCACCTTTTATTTTAATTCCCTCTCGAAGGGAGCTGGCCAAAAAAGCCGCAATGCTTTTCTTAAGAGCGTGAATTTGCAATTGTATTGTTTTTTTTAAATGTAATCAACACATGCAGCGTACCTGGGAAGCCGCAGTGATCTCACTGAAACTGACATGCCAAGTTAATCACGTAACCCCAAACCTTTCAGCACCATTCATTTAAAACTGAATCCATGAAACCCATCCCATTATACGCACTTTATAATTGTGTGTCTTCCTTCCAACATGCCAATTTTCACCAAGCCTGGTGCTGTCACTGCAATAATTCCACACCCATCCTTGAATGCACCATTATCTTTCGTATCGCAATCATATTATTACACCGCGTGGCATTCATGCAGAGCCAGCAAACCAACAACCGCTTCTGTAATCTTCGTAATAAGAAGTGGTTTCGTGGAAATAATGAAGATTCAATTTGCTCGCCAGAAAAACATCTAAAGCATCGGTGTGTTTATATATTTCAAATGTGTTTTCACCGCAACTGAATTGTGTTTCCATCCAGCTGATGATGGACCCACATGAATATAACATTAGGCAATTATGACCTAGCCACAGCTATTGAAGCTGAACCTAAAATTACGAGACATTTAAATACATTCATAATGAAATGTTAAGCCTCCAGATTTCCTAATCGTGTTGTACATTCCGAGATTGTGTACCTTAAAACAAAGGGGCACTGTGGCGACCTGTGACTCCAAAACAGCATTACGCGTAAGACGCTCAGCGCGGGCAAATAATTATTAATCGGCCCACTGTGGCCGTGTGATAATGCATATTAATCCAGATGAGATGAAATTGCACTCATGACTGCATTCTGGTGCTTTACCAGATTCAGTTTTAAATGAAAGGGCTGTTTTTGTTACGTTGATAAATGTAGTATTTTGTTTAAACGTTTGACCAAGGAAAGATTC